ATAGTTTCTAACGCTAATTCCTATATGTCTATATCTACAGTTTCCTAACACTCTATGCATTAACTGAAAAACTAAAAAAATTAATTGCGAATAACTTTTGCTCAATACTGTATGTTTTCGTAGGTTTTACAATAAGCGTGACGTTTGAAATTTACTTAATTAGTGTATTCTATTCACTGATATTTTATCTTTCGTCTCTCGTCTGAATTGCAAATGAATCATTGCCACAACAGAAATTTTATCAATTAGACGATAAGCGGAATTACTCTACACTCAGGAATTATAATACATGGAACTTTTCTATTTATTTGTATTACGCACGTATTGTTATTGTTGTTTGTAATTTGTATGTACCTACAAAGTGGTTAGTATGAAACGAGAGATACAACTGCAGATTCTAGATGTTAATGTCAAATGATTCAGCTACATTTACTTTAGAGTAGGATATTGAATAGGGGTTTTAGTAAGGAACAATTGCGTCCGAGGGTTTTTACTGTTAAATATGCTAGTTTGTACCTAAAAAGTATAAAATCTCAAAGTGGTACTAAATATGAGAGTTCGTTCATGAGATCCAATCAAAAAAGCTCATTTTTTTAGTTTTTTTGGAAGTTTTTCACAATAATACATTTTCGCAGACAAATTTGCTATGACAATACCTTGTTGAAAAATTCTTGGTAAAGGTCTAGATTATCCCGCCCACCCTCTTCGGGGGTAGGGGCAGGGGGGATTGATAGAGGTCTCCCCAATCACTGTACCATAAAAGTTTGCGGCGTTCTCACCCCCATGAAAAGTTATGGGGACTCAAAGTTTATTATTTTATTAAATGTTGATATCAAGTTTATGATACAACTATTAAAAAATGTTTTTTAATTGTTTTTTTTTGGCTCTTAATTATCAATATTATAAATGTTGGATAATTAGTAATAATAGGTAATCTATTAAATTTTATTAGACTTTATAGTGTATGAAAATTGGAAAATTACAGAACTTTGCAACCCCATAACTTTTTATGGGGGTGTGACCGCCGCGAACTTTTCATGGTGGTTTACTCAGGAAGACCTCCTCTTTTAATCCCCCCTGCCACCATAATAATCTAGACCTTTACCAAATTCTTTTGTTTGTTTTTAGTATCAATAATATTTAAATAAAAAGGTGAAAATTTCAAAAAACTGTATTCGGAAAAATTCAAAGGTCTGGTGTACACATTCTATTTCACAAAAAGGGCTCACACATTGGCATGCACATTATTCAAAATAAATTCTAAGGTATAGAGCAGTTAAGAGTTTGAGTTATTTACGCTATCATATTAAAAATTAATTCTACATTGTGATTGTATCTTCTCCTGTTGTTATCGACTTACGCGTGAAATAAGTATGGCTGCCCATAACTGAGGGTCGTAGTGAGTCCTGAATTCTATCTTGGCTGACGTATACATATAATGGCGCTTCTGATAATGTGTATTTTGAATTCTTTATCTCCCTTGTCAGTCAGATAATATGAGTAAAGTAGAAAGTATTCCTTTCTATTATTTATCATTAACGTTTCAACTTTGATTTAATATTTTTCAAGGCCAAAGTAAGCATGAATTAGCAACTTTTCCATCATTCCGTAGTTTCTGTTGTAAAAATTGGATAAGTACACTGTTTATTTGTGCTTGTCTATTGCGAAATATTTTTGTTTAACTAAATATATAGGTACATGGCAAATATATATTATTATTAACACAAAAAAAGAACAGGATAGTTTTAAATATCTCTTCAGATTTTTTTAATACAATTGTAACGTTGTGTCTAAATAATTTACAAACGGATATCTTTTTTAATGGAGACTAACGAGCATAGACAATTCAAATATGGTACCAGATTTTTTTCGTAATGTTATTAGCAATAAGTTAGTGCTGAATACAATCTTTCAGTTGAAATTAAACTTAACAAGTGATACCCAATCAATCGCAATTAGTTGATGATTGTTTCCTCTAGCTTCGAGTAGGTAACCCTAACAAGTCATATATTGAAAAGCTCTTGATGAAAGAAGAACAAATCTGACGTTATCGAAGAGTTTCATCGAAGTTTCCAAAAATAATCGAAATATTTCATGCCAGTTACAACCTAAAGTACCGAAATAAGAATGGAAAAACAAATAAATGCATTAATGGCAATGATGGCAGAAATGACACAAAAAACGGAAAAAAGCTAAGAAGAAATAAAGATGGGATAGGAAGAAATGAAACAGAAAAACGAAAAAATGACAGGAAGAAATAAAGAAAGAATTGAAAGTAGCTCAAGAAGAAACGAAATAAGGACAGGAAGAAATGAAAGGAGAGTTGAAAGCAGCTAAGGAAGAAATGAAACAGAAAATGAAAGCAATAAATACGAGAATGAAGGAATGATATTACAAATGAAATGAAAAAGAAGATAGAATAAAGGGAAATCATAATAGAAAATAAGATAGAAGAAATGAGAGAAGCAATTGAAAGGCTAAGACTGCCCTCTACTGCAAGGCCTGAAGATTCAGGTGCAAGGCCATCACAAATTACACCTCCAACTTTTGATGGAAAAATCTCGTGGTCTGTTTACCTGAAGTGGTGTGGAGCAGCGACAGAGGCAAATTCTTGGACTGATTTAGAGAAAACAACAGCACTAATAATTTCTCTACGAGGAGAGGCGCTGGATATACTCCAAGCTCCAAAGAATTCCCGAGTCTCAACAGTATGACTTCCACCATCTTGTCAACGGCCTAGAAATGAGGTACGGTGATAAACATCTACAGCAGACACACCACATACAACTGAAAAGTCGTAAAAAAAGAAGTAACGAGACTCTTCAACAATTTGAATTCGATGTGGAGCGCCTCATGAAATTAGCTTACCTCTCTGCTTCTCAAGAATTCGTACATCAACTGGCGGTATAAACATTTACACCTTTCATTGTTGATGCCAGTAATGTGGGTCTTGGTGGTATGTTATCTTAAATACAAGATGGAAAGGAGAAGGTCATGAGATACATTAGTGAAACATTCTCGAAACCAGAACGAAATTATTGTGTCACCCATTGAGAGCTACTAGCTGTGGTTAAAACCCTGGAACATTTCCATAAGTACTTGTTTGGACGGAAATTCCTCTTAAAAATGGATCACGCCTCACTGAAGTGACCACTGCAATTCAAAAACCCAGAAGGGCAGATTGCACGATGGTTACAACGACTTAAAGAGTATGACTTTGACATCGAGTATCGTCCAAGCAAACAACACAGAAACGCAGATGCACTATCCCAAACACCTTGCGTGAAAAACTACAAACATTGTTTATCTGCGGAGAAGAAGGAAGAGCTGGTGTCGATCTGTTGTAATCTAACCATTTTTTAGCCTGAGAGATCCTGGGACGATAAAGCATTAATCGAAAATTAGGAGAAGGACGAAGATATTGGCCCAATATTGAGACGGAAAGAATCCGGAACCTTAAGATCATAGTGGGTAGATGCCACCTTAGTCAAACAAAGAAAAGTTATTGGGCGCAGTGGACTTCTCAAAACTTGGACCACGGCGTTTTGAAAAGATTGTGGGAATGTCCAGATAGAACCAGAAACAAGTTCTAAGTGGTACTTCCGAAGAAAAGAATTTCAGATATCTTAGAAGCAGTCCATGGCGAAGGACATTTTGGTGTTATTAAGACTCTAGGTGAGATACACAAGCGATTTTATTGGTCATGAGACAGAAGCGATGTGGAAGACTGCGCCGCCAGTAGGGGACCGAAGACAAGGAGTCGTGGAAGAATGCAGCAGTACAACGTGGGAGCGCCATTTTGAAAGAATCGCAATCGTCGTGGTAGGACCATTCTCAGTGAAGGAGTCCGGTAGCCAATACATCTTGGTAATCATGGATTACTTTATTATTATGCAACACTGAACCAGGAATGGCACACGTTTCCGAGAAACTTGTCAATGACTGGATTAGCTGATATAAAGTACCATAAGAATTTTGTTTTGTTCTAGAACATCAATGAACTAATAGGCATTACTAAAACGAAAACTACTCTCTTACATCCGCAGTCTGATGGAATCGTTGAACGATTTAACGCTTCTCTGAAAACCAATTTAAAAAGCAAAGAAGCATCGTAAATAAGCACCAAACCGACTGGGACTGGCACATACCACTCTTCTTATAGATAGGTCATCCATGAGAGAATTGAAATAACACCGACCAGCAAGGTGTATGTTTGCAGCGCGACTCTTTACGGGTGCGAAACATGGACGGTGGACGCTGCGGAAAAGAAAAGGTTACCGTGGATAGAGAAGGTTAGAAATGAAGAGGTATTAGAAAGAATGGGAGAACAGAGGAGTCTATGACTCTAATAAAAAATGGAAGTCAATAAGAAATAGGCGAGAGGTTGGTAAAAACGAGAGTTAGGTGGAGTAGAGGTAGACCTATGTTAGATTCCTGTTCGCAAATAGTTAAGGATGTGGGTTGTTTTAGTTTTAGGGAAATGCAAAGATTAGCTCAGGATAGGAAACAGTGGAGGTGCGTGTCCAACCAGTCTAAGGACTGACAACCTCATGAGAGATTCCAATGTATAGACAATATTGATGAAATGATGGAAGTACTTGTATTGTACATAAGAGCAGTTGACTTTCATTCCTTGTCAGTTAAAAATGTCTGTCCATTTTTAGTTCTTTTTTGGAACTCCGTACTGATTACCGAAATTTTGGTTTAATTTAGGGCCAAAAACTAGAAAATGAAAAATCCGAAAAATAGTTTACAAGCAATACCGGCGCGGTGGGTGCGTGGCGTAATAATTGTTTCATTATTGTGAAAAGTACATGGACATTGTGATAAAGTTATCTCAACACGTGCGTATGCTCATTTTCACACATTTATGAATAACAAACGACTGGGCGCCGAAAACAGTTGACGGTTGAACTCTCATTGTTACATTTTGGTGCGTTTCAAATAAAAAAAGGCCGAGCATGTTTCAACTTGCAACGAACTAAAACTCGAAAATTTCATTTATACATACATACATACAGCAACGGAAGGTTACAAACACGGGTGCGTTCCGTATTTTTCTGTCGGTGAAATGTGTGTATGAATGTGTGCGGTATGATAGGAAGGGGAACGCGATTGTTAGAACGAAACGGACGCCTACCAAGATCCAAAATCGAAATCCTCCTCATTCTAACGTTTACTGTTGATCCGAAAACAAGCTAGGAAATTTAGTTGCATTTTTTTTTTGTTTGACTGGAAGACTGCCAAATTTTACTGATACAATTATGTCTCGAAAACAAGATACGACTCCCCTACAAGAGGCCTTTAAGGTAAGCCAATTTTCTTTTTAGTTTAAAAAAGTTTGTAAAATTTAGTTGTGCCTAAAAGTCTCAATTGTGACGCTTCGAAGAAATTATTTTTAGAACATTCACAAAGTAAAACTTTCGATCGGATTAATTAAAAAACAAATTATTTTTAATTGAATTATTTGTGGGTAGTATTTTCTGAACAGTACCTTGCATTATATATACTAAACTAATTAAATAGTTCATAAAATAGCGTGCACTTATTGTTTCACATTTCGCGCAGATGCTTGTACAATTTCCTTGTGCTAAATTACATAATGACTAAGAAAATCCGGGAGTATGCGCATTAAATAAAGAATATATTTAACGAGTGCCGAATTTGCGGAAAGCGAATTCCACGTACAAATGCCGATCCCGTAGCGTTATTATTCGAAAAGGCGACGCCGTTTGTGACGTCATGGAAAATTACTGCGAGAGCCGCCTGGGTTAACGTCGAAGAACTCGGGCCGGAGGATTGGAAAAGAAATAAGTTCTTCGTTCGCAACTGCTGTTCAAACACAATTGCATACAACAATTCAACAATGTGGCGCTCGCCATACGCACTTTCATAATACTAATAATAATAATTGCTCTCAACATCTGCATCTTTAGATGGAGTTCGGTTCGTTGTCTATTAACAAAAGAATAATAATTGATTGTTGACAATTATTCACCAAATTTAATATGCAACATAACGAATGTTAAATATGATGCAACTGTTTTTGGTGTGACGAAATATACATAAAAAAACTAGTTTTGTCGCAATATAATTGAATATTTTCCATTTACTGCAACTACTTGTCGTATTATGNACTCTTTTCTATCCCGAGCTAATCTTCGTATTTCCCTAAAACATCTCACGTCCTTAACTATTTGTGAATAGTAGATAATCTAATCTAGGTCTAATTCGTCCAATTTGCCCTAACTAGCCCTTCATGCTTGAGAAGATGTCCTACCAATCTATCTTGCCTGAATTTCTTATTGACTTTCATAGCGCCCTCTGCTGTCCTACTCTTTCCAATCTTCTCTCCATTATGTCATAAAATATTCAAAATTAAATTAAAACTAATAAACTTTAAATCTAGTTACTTTTCTGGATTTAACTTAGTTTACACTATTTTTGTTTCAAATTTTTTGATCGAACTGGTTTATAAATGAAGTTATCAAACACCATATGGTAGGCAGTGGGCCACGTCATATCCACCAGTGATTTATTATCACTTACCTATTATCACATTTTTAATCTAGAAATAAGTCATTCTCGTTTCCATAAATGGATTTATTATTATTAGATACTTCAAAGTGGCAAATGTTGTAACCGTTTAATCAGCATATCGTTGATATCGTAGACCGACATTTTTTATCAATAATCTTACTGTGTTTGTCGTAGCGAGTCTTATCAAAAAAGGTGTTATAAAGCGCTAACCACAACGTTATAAACTTTAAGACTTTCGAATTATTTCACTTGGTATCATAAAGTGAAGATTTTGAGTATAAAGATTATTTAATTTAAAGGAAGCGTCATTCTACGTATAATTGTTATTCATATTTTATTCCGTCTGAAAATGCAGTTTTTAATGGCGGTGTATTAATTTTTCGAGAAAAATAGTGTTAATTTATCGTTAGTTAAATAAAACCGGGATGGTCACAGACCGGGAAAACCGGGGCTTATCAGAGAATGTAACCCAACCAGGAAATATCAGAAAATTTAATTGTTAATTCAAAATTTCGAAATTTTTCACTTCAGTCATGAAAGTTTTCNTTATTTCAGTATAGTTTTTGTGTTTACTTTTTCCTGTGAATAAGAATATATTTACGTATAACCGAACTTTTACAATTTCTGCCTCTTGTAGTTGGTATCTATATCAGATTTTGATTAACGATGTCTTAGTATGATTTTGTCACCTTGCAGACTTTTTATACATATAAACATATATACTCTTGTTTTAAGGATTCCGTCAAAAGAAAATTAAAATTTTATTTCAGTATAGTTTTTGTGTTTACTTTTTCCTGTGAACACGAATACGTAAATATAACCGAATTTTTACAATTTCTGCCTCTTGTAGTTGGTATCTATATCAGATTCTGATTAACGATGTCTTAGTATGATTTTGTCACCTTGCAGACTTTTACTATTTATAAACATATACTCTTGTTTTAAGGATTCCGTCAACCAAGAATTAAAATTTCATTGGTTTAGTGTTTTTAGACTTTTTGAACGGGACTTGATGATTAATATGGGTTGGGACTAGGGTTGCCACCCGTACTTTATTATAAAGTATTGTATTCTATTTCGACTGTGCGTACGTTATATTTTACAAGACACATAAAGTACGCAAAAATACTTTATTTAAGGCCTTAAATAAACATCGTAATTTTGTAAGCGATTATTTGAAATTGAGAGTATTTTTACATCAATAATATTGCACAATACAATATTTTTGAGAATGTTTCTATGTTTCTGAACGCTAGTTTCATTGTCAAAGCCATATTTACGGAAAAACCTGATTTCCCAAATCTGTTCAAACTAGTGTCACTTTCCAGAAAGAGTATTCGGTGTTATGAACGCAAAGTGGCGGGACGACAGGAATAAAGCTTCATTAAAACTAATTAAAAATGAAGTTTTAGTTTACTTAAATTTTTGTTTTCCGTGTTTAGAGGCTATTAATGAATTTAAGGGTGACAGTAATTTGTTACTGGCTGCTAGGCATAACAAAAAATATGTTTTTAAAAACAAAAAATAAAATACTTTATTTTTATGCTGAGTACTTTTTTTTTTAACCTTTTGGTCGAGAAATACTTTATAAAAGCCTGAAAAGGTGGCAACCCTAGTTGGGACGTTGTTAAGGGTGGTATTTAATGGAAGCCACCTTGAAGACATGAACTATTGCTGGATTTTGTACAGTTATCCGGCATATCTCTATTTAAAACACCATAATCAATAGTAGGGTGTAAATGAACCATTTTATTAATTATTAATTTTGAAGGTTTTTTGGTTTCTAGCCATGATAATTATAATTTTTGGGAAGGAATGTGCCTCCCATTTATCTTTTTTGTTTTTGTTGTTTTTAATTTGTTATTCAAATAAATGAAAAAAATATGGGTACAATGAAAACAAAAATACAAACCAGGAAAAATGTGATAAATTGTAGATATTAGAAAACCGAGAGTTATCACAGAAATTTAAAATCATTTCTTGTGGCCACCCTGAAATATAGTAATAAAATGAACTCAATATACTTCCGGCCTAGTTTGTGTTTTACCGACGTATATCAGTGTTATTAGATGTCACAATCGAACAATGAAAAATCACGTGAGAATTTGTAAATTTCTCGAATAGGAATTGTTCTTCTCCGAAGGAATAGTAAACTTTCACATTCTTTTTACGTCTAGCGGTCAATCAACCTCAATCACATACTTTGCCATTTTATACCGAGGTATACCAATCTTACGTTACTTCTTTACAAACTTGGTACGACCTCATAATCATTTTGTTTACATACTTTTGTGATTTCCTTTTCAGGCAGTTCTAGTATTGGGTATAGTATCTATTAACATTCGGACGTAACGTAAATATGTATGTAACGTAAATATGTATTAATAAAATTATTTCTGGCAAACAGACACCATTTCCACTTATTTTGTTAGTGCGGTGTTTTTTTGTTGACATTCAATAAAGTAACATGCAATCACTAGTGGGTGGCATGATATTTTGAGAAATACGACGTGGTATAGGAGAATTCGCACAAATATCTTCAACCATCTTTTCATATACAGGCAAATGCAATTTAAAAGTTTGAGGGATGTTGTCCAAAAGATTTTGAAGGTCGGATAATGTAGAGAACAGTTTTCAGAAAAGCAAGTGATGTTTTGGTTGAAAAAAATATCTATATTCTGCAACTTTTATGGTCGATGAACGTTTTGCCTTACCTGTACGTATGGTTAATTGATGTGAAACAAATTTTTATTAAGCAAGTATCTAGATTCTAGACCAGGACTAGTCAAAACAAATAGTCCTGGAGGCCGCAATGGAGATAAATTGTAACTCCGTGGGTCGCATGTAAAATTAAATGAGATTTAGATCCACTACGGACAATTTTTTCAACTCATAACAGTAAACTCATTAATAAAACAGGCAGTATTTGTCGTATATTCACAAAAATATTATTTTACTTAATTAATTTCAACAATTAATTTTTGAATATATGGTTACACAAATAAGATATTTCTTTTATATATTGGTTTTCACTGCTTTGGTTATTATAATCATCATCATCATCATCATCATCATCATCATGAACATTAGGGTGGTCAGTCCTAAGACTGTCTGGACAGGCATCTCCAATCTCCTGAGCATTTTTTCAAAACTAGAACATCTAATCTAGGTCTCATTCTACTCCTCTTCATTTCTGCTTCAAATATACCTTTAATTAGCTGCTCAATACCGAACTATCTCGCTTATTTCTCATTGACTCCTACCCCTAGTACCTCCTTATTTCTAACCTTCTCTATCCACGATATCCTCATCATTCGCCAGCGACCATTTTAAAATAAATATATTTTATAACTATGGCGAATCTCGAGGACCACGATTTGGTCATCCTTGTTCAAGACTTCTAGATCTTACTTTTACTTTTAATCACTTTTATTGGGCATTAATTTTTTTTTTGCAATATTCCATTTATCCAATTTTATTTGACTGCAAATATTTCGGCGATCATTACTTAAACCTACCAAATAATAATATCATTAATTTGTAGACTCAATAAACATTTACCAATTTTAAATTGTTTAAGTCTATTTGATCATCGAAATTATAAATTTTTGTTTTATGAATTTCTGATGATTCTAATTTTTAATATATTTATTCTTGACCAAAAATATGCAAAATGTTATAATCTTTATTGAAGTTGCCTTTCTAAAATAAATGACTATTACATACAGTTGAAACTTTATTTTATTTTCGAAACTTAAAACATTCGTTA